GACTCTGATAGTAAATACTCAAGTTTGATATATGCTTGATTAAGCTTGATAATATATAATTGAATATTTCTGTTTTATTTAATACTTATTAATTGTTTTTATTGAGTATCTTCAGTATTAAGTTCTGAGTATTGGATAATAATTCAGTTTTCAAAATCTTACTATATATCAGACATACAATAATTGTTTGAGTTATAGTCTGCTAGATTTTCTTTAATAGCTCATCTTTTTGCAGCATTATCTGTAAGTCAGATGAATGCGAGAGTAACTTTTTAAGTGTTAATTATAGTTTTTTTAGTAAAGATAAGTTCTCTATTCTAGTATAATCAGCATTGAGAAAGCCACTTGTTAGCTGTATTGTTAAGTATTTTTCTACTGTATTTTTTAAGTTTCTTAAGTTCTAAGACTTTTTAAGTAGAAAGCTTGCTGTTCTTTAGTTTTAACTTCTCTAGTTAAGTACTATATTATGCAAGTGTTGTTGTTTGAAGTTCTGCTAGATAATTCAAGTTCTTACTTATCTTATTTCTCAGATGTTAAATCTCTTCTTTCAAATTATACTCTTGTTTTATATCAGCTCTTGCTTTTCTCTCTTGAAGACTAATATACTAACTTTTAGTGGTTGCAGTATTGATAGCTGTATCAAGCTAGCTAGAGACTATATGATATTAGATTATTAGGAAGCATAACATGCAAAGTGTTTATAGTGACAGCTAATGCTGAGTGGTTCACAGCATTGGATTTGAATGTAGAAGACAAAGTAATATCAGAAGAGTTAAAAATAGCAACTAAGAGATTTTGATTAGAGTTTGTCATGGTAAGGTTTATAAAAGAATAACAACAGATAAGTTTTGCAAAAATATCAAGAATTATAAAGCTATTGTAAACAATAGTATTATTTTCTGATGAACAAATATTTGAAAGAAAGAAAATGAGTATTTATCTTGTAAAGAGATACTCTTGTAGAGTTTGATTGAAAATGCAGATTTTCATAAAGAGTCTTTATTAGATATTTATATATTCTGTATTGAAGAATAACTAAAGTTGATTGCATATCAATCTTCAAATTAAAAAACAAGATCTTAACCACTCTGTTGAAGATATATTGTAAAGATATATGTCTGACAGAGAGATAATCTTTTAACATGCTACCAGATATAATCTGAAAATTTGATTACTTGAGTCCTCTGAACTAAAGAGAACTAAGCTATCTACATATACATGACTGTAAGCTGATATTGAAAGACATCAGAATCTATTGAGATTTGTAGGCCTCAATAAAGTATAACTAAGAAAAGAAATGTACTCTATAATATAATATAGATGTAAGAGAACCACATACTGAACAAGATCTTGAAAAAATATCTCTGCATTTATTGTAGTTATAGACAAGATGATTGAAAGAAGTAGCTTATGTACACAGAATTTACATACAACAGATCAGAATACTCTGTAATATATATATTCTCATTCAAAGTAATGTACAGCTTCAAATCTAAAGAACCAGATAAGATTCAGAAGTTATCTGATGATGATATACAGATAACATCTAGCAGAAAACTGAGAATAATCTCTAGATTAAGAGATAATTTGATAGAATGTTTAATAAAAGCAAAAGGAAATTAGGCATGGTTCTATAACTAAAGATATCAAGATGTATGTATCTGGTAATAAAATAATATTGTCATCAAGAAATTTACAAATAATATACTCTTGTAAAAAGTTAAATAACAAGTAGTATAGATCTTTTTCAGTAATAAAGACTATAAAAAATAATACATATTAACTGAAGCTTTTCTCAAGCTATCAGATCTACAATATTTTTTATGTTTTATTGTTAAAACTGTACTGTATAAGAAAGAGTAAGGCACTAGTGTATTCTTTTACAGTACTGGTTAACAATTATCATAAGTAAGAAGTAAACAAAATCTTGAACAACAAAGTACACTACCACAAGAAATGTTACTTAGTGAAGTGGAAAGAATTCTCTATTAAGAAATTGATATGGGAATCTGAGGAAAATCTCAAAAACACACAAGAGGCCCTTAAGAATTATCTAAAAAAAAGATATAGCTATCAAAAGCAGAAGACAAAAAAATCTATATATAAGAAGAAAGATAAACATGATACAAAACAAATATAAAGACAATACATCTATAAAATCAAGAATTTAACAGTAAGAAAGTGTATCACAAGAGTGCTTGAGACACAGCCATGATGGTGGTAAACCAGCTATAAATATGTAAAACTTAGAAGTTGCAGATATATTTAGTATAATGATAAATACAACTATAATGAAAGAAGCAGTCATAAAAGAAGATATAACAGATAAAGAATAAGAAAAAGAATAAAGTACTTCTATAATACTTTAAAAACCAGAAAAAACAATATCAGTTAGACAGTTAATGAAAGATGTAAGATTAATCTAGACAGAAGTTAGTCTGATAATAAGTAAAGATAATAAAAAATATCTACAATATCAGTTTTCATACTATCTTAAAGAGTTAATCTCACTTGTTAAATAAGTAGTAAGATAATTAAGTAAGACACAGATATTTCTAATCTTATTTTTAACTTAAGATAAGGTAGTATGAACTGAACTTGACAAATAAAGAAGTTCAGACAGATTATTCTTGATAGATCTGGCTTCAGATATAAGATTCACAGTCTTAGTTTATTAAAGTAAACTAGAACAACAATATTTTGAAGTAAATCTATTAAGAACTGAAGTGACTTAATAATAGTAATATTTTACAGCTTCAAAGTCAAGATTACAGAACTTTTATATCAAGACACTCATATATTTTATACTGTATGGATAGTGAGAATCTGCAGCATTAAAGAAGTAATACTTTTCTTGAAAATATAAGAGCTAATGTATAATATTAAAAGCAGATTCAGATATCTATAACTATATTAAACTAATAAGAAAGAACAGATAAAGACATACTTATATTATAATAAGTATAAGTTTAATACTTTAAATAATAAGTATAAGATTCTTTTTCAAAGTTCTATATACAGAGCTCTGCTTTATTCAAACAATCTGTAAACATTGAATATATATATACTAAGCAGAGAAACATCTTCTCTTTAGAATCAGAAACAGAATTCTCTAAAAAGAATATAATAATGAAGAGCAGCTTAGAAGAAATAACAACACTTGTATCAAGATATAATAAAAGAAAAAGAAGAGAAGAATAAAGATAAGAAGATCTTTATTTATATCTGTACTATAATATACTAAAGTTGCTAGTTCTATAACTTGTTAATAAATAATATAGCAACAGGTAACAGATAATATAGCAATCAGACAAGTAAACAAATAAAAAAACAAGTATATAATAAAATACTGAACTTTCATAATAAAATAATTACTATTTTATAATAAAGAATGTCTACTACAATTAGCAGTAATACATATACAAAATATCTATATAGACAAGCAGTAGAAATGCAAAAGCTTGTATATTCAATAATTTATAATACTCTATTAATAACAGAGAAGCTACAATAATAATATATAAAAAACTACTTCAGTGGCTTTATATCTCAGAGTCTAAGATCTCTGGAGGGAGATAGTATTACAAATGTAGATCTAGATCAACCAAGTATCAGACAACATCAGATGTTCAGGGGTACTCACATGACCCCAACTCTGAATATATAAGAATCATATAATTTGCACAAATCATGGAAATCTCAGCATTCAGTCTTCAAGTTAAAGAACCCCTACATTCTACATATGACTTCCTCTTATTAGTTGCAAGCATCAGACCTACTTAGCTCTTTCGTATCCCAAATCCTGGGAAAACTTATGTAACCCACTGCTGGTTCTCCTAACAGTGGTGCCTGGGACTAGTAGCCTGTTTGGTAAAGCCAAGCAAGCCATCTTAAGAAGGTTTTATATCATGTGCAAAAATGTCATGAGTTTACCGTGAAAGATGTTAAAAGGTCAACTCAAGTTTACATAATCAGATAAGCCACAATGTTAGGAGCTCTACTAGGCGCAGTTGGAAATGAACTCCAGTTGCCAGTTAGGTAGCCATACAAACAAAATACTAAGACAGGCTCTTGAAAGAGGGTTCAAGGTAGGTGCTTGCCATATACACACAATAAGCTTCTGTGTCAGATTAATCTTTATCTCGTAACCAAATTCTTCATCTAGAGTTTAGAGCTTGACCTCAGAATAATTCTTTAGCTGAATGATTAGTCTGAGAGCTACAGTTCTCATATTATTCTCTTACAAGTTTCAGGCATACTGGCAGATTGTCAGCTTTCTTGTCTGAAAGATATTTCTCTAGCTTTCATGTTTTTTGTCAGCCATCTAACTGTTCCAGTCTTTCAGAGGTTCAGACTTTGTAGAATTTATTATATAAAAGGTATAAATCTTGTGCGGACAACTTTTCAGATCTCAGATAGAATATTATACATAATCTGAGTTAAATTCTAGTTATTTAATTCAGTATTGAAGTCTTTTTCTGTAGATTCAGCTTACCAGAATCTTATCTACTTCTTATTTATTTTTATTATGAATTACAACAGAATTGACGTTAGGAGCTCAACTAGGCGCAGTTGGAAACGGATCCCTGTTGCCAGCAATTGTGGAGCTGGGCGGCGGACGTATTAGATGACTATGTAGCTCGTATTTAGGCTTCTCTCCTGCAGTCCATATGTAAGCCATTTAACTAGTTAACTACGGAGTACTAACGAAGTCAGTCTTTGTGGGGATCGACACTCCGACACCCCGAAAGATCAACCCCAGCGAGAGAGCATGCACAAAGGCCTGATCAGAAAGAAAACTACCCAAGGTCTCGGGAATGCGAATCGGTCCAGCGAGTGAAGTCTTGCGATCATCGGCCTAACTGCATTATTGAGATCTATATATACAATGCATGCATGTAGCTAAGGCAGTAGAGAAAGATACATGCAACAGCGCCCCCCTCCCAGTAGATATTGAGAGAAACATTGAGTCCGTTACACCACCTCTCCCAAAATGCATATATGGAAGTCTAAAGAAAAAGTCGTAATCATCCAAACCTAGAGAAACGCCGGCCCACGTGTACAAAAGAATCGTTTAAATAGTTAAAGCACAAATCGACTCAAGATAATGAGATTGGTCTTATGCCCAGCGTCATTTATTTCGTAGGAATAATGTCTCTATCGAGTCCCAATGGTCGCAGTCGGAATAACTATGAGTTGGAAAATGGGGGTGTCAGTGCAAACATTCTAAACTCGGCCAATAGGTCACACGAGGGAGGAATAAAGCATACATATAGGTCATGCTGCTTCTTAAACTTGATTGAATGGCTTCTGGATGCCAGCGAAAAAGATACATAACGAAAGCCCAACTGAGGCTTGCAAACGCAGGCCAAGCGTGTGTCTTGATCTCCTCTCGGGCATTCCTAGATATAAAAGATGCTAGGGGGTTCGGTTTTGGGTCTATCGAAAGCCTTGCCATTGCAAGAACTACTCGTGCAAAAACGTATATGACGATCTATACAAAGGTTTTTGTCAATACTCAAGTCCAGTACCTGATCCAAGGATCAGCTATTGTGTTGGAGGGTTATGGTTCAGACCTGCTGGGTAACACTTGATCGCGACCGGCCAAATACGACGTATCCTCCCAATAAGCCTGCGAAGAAGGTATCATACGGTCCTTCTTTTCCAGATCCGCCGGGAGAGAGATATCGCAGCGCTAGCATAGAGGACTTGTATACGATCGCGAACGTTGCTAAGTTGCGTGCATGCTGTTTCGTCGCCTTCAGAACAAGCCGAGTTTTCTCATGTAGACTTCAAATATACGTGAGTTAACAATAGATTGCTTAAGAGAAGTCCAGATATGGTGCGACCAGGTCATACGTACCTCCCAGATCGGAAGAGAAATATCATCCTGATGAAGGCAGCTTAGCGATTGGCTGCAACCAAATTATTCAAAACAATACCATACACCAATGCATGAGGAAAGCGGACTTTGCTTCCATAGACAGCCCCGTTGCGGGCACTTTTAAGAATTGCAAGCAGAGGTGCAAGCTCTGGTTTTAAAGCGATGGTGTTGAGCGCATCCTGGAGGGTGATTAGCCTGGGCATCATATTCACCCTTGAGCTGCATGAAGGAGATGCGCACCCTTAGTGAGTCCATTTTCAGTCTGTATATGAAGGATCGGTGATATGCCGTTCAGCCAACAAATTGAGGGTTGTAGGGCGGATTTGAGCTGCGCCGCATACAAAAATACTTTTTTGGTCGACTTCACGGAGATGCAAAATTAATAACCAAGGTGACTAACAAATGTGAGAAATAATGTTTTTGTTTTCATCATGAAAAGTAACCTGGCATGATGTTCTGTTAAAAGAGATACTGTGGAACCCCGGCTCAATCTCGAATACTCCGTAGATGGATCGTGATAATCGTCCCCCCCTCCAAGTTCCTCGGCATGTGAGAACAGCCAAATGAAAGAGCTTGCCGGATCGCCGACGTCACGGTACCCAAAGAGATGAAGTCACCTGGAAAACCTTCGTGTTAGGTAATCCAACCAGCACCTCGCTCACGTGACCCACATAGATTAGCCGAGATTCCCCTTTAGGTAGCTTAGTGAATAACAAGCATACAAGTCCTCCATCAGGTTATAGCCCTTTGTGCTGAAAAGCAAAGTGTATAAGGTTGATTTACAGCTCAATTGGATATTGAAGCTTATGATCAACATCCTGAATGGTTATCCTTGTGGATAACAAGGTTTTACAAGCACAAGAGAGAGTGTATGTTGAGATAGATACCTCCTATATGTGCAACCCCTGTAGCTTTCTAGCACTGAGCTGGGGAGTGAGTTGAACCCTGTAGCTTTCTGGCATGTGATCAGAGAGTGAGTGAAATGCCTGCTAAATGCACCTAGCAAGCAAATTGAGCATCTGGTAATGCTAAAGTCATGGTGAACTGTATGGATGAACTGGAGCATCAAACTCCTGACTGGAAAGCTCCAACAAATCTTCCTACACCTCAAACTAAGCTTAGGCAGTCAAGTAGGCTCAGAGACAGCCTGCCAAATGATAAGCAGGAGTCTAGAAAGGAGAGTGAACTCCAAATATTGCATAGAATAATGCTGAATCAACAGGAGATGATACAAAGATAACAGAAATTAATACAAAGATAACAGAAGATAGTACAACAGCTGGCATAGCAAGTGAATCTTCTATCAGGTCAAGCAAGCACTGCAAATGCACCTGCAATAATGCAGGAGAATCTAGAGTATGAAGCTCAACAAGAAGAAAAAGAGAATCAAGAAATAGACTTTAATAAGAAACTAGAAGAATATGTTGGCAATTATATAGATATAAATATGTGAATTGGCAGAGCAATCACTCAATTCATGAAGATCACAAAAATGGTGAAGAAGTCTATAACTCTGGCTGGAGCCAGCAACTATCTAGCATGAAGCAAAGCCATTCTAAAAGTAGTCTGTCAAGTAGGTGTTGAGAGAATTATCCTGAAAAGACAAGAGACTTCACTATGGCCAGAGTGCTTGAAGATTTCACAATACTGAAATGTTCAGAATAATTAGCTATATAGTCTAATTAACAGTATAATATCTGCACAAGCCAGAGAATACTTTGAGAAATTGAATAGTCTTAGTGCTTACAAACTCTGGAAAGCTGTAAGAACAGTCTTTCAAGAGAGATCTGAGATACAGCAGAAAAGCCTACTTATAAAGTTAGTAAGAATGACACCACAATTCACTAGCTCAGAAAGAAATTATATAGAGAGATTTCTAGTAATCTGTAAGGAATTTGAGAGATTAGAGTTCAAACAACTGGACCACACCCTATATGATATCTTGAAGATGAACATTATGTTCTGATGGAGAGAGTTCATACAGAACTGATTTGATATGGCATGCCAAAGCAGAATAAATCTATCAGAGAAGAATCTGAAAGATTTACTGAAGAATATCCTTCACTGAATCTCCAAGAAAGACCAGAAGAAAGACAGATCTACAAAGTTAAATACAAATGCAACAAGCTCAGATCCCCAAAAGTCTTACAAAAATACAAACTCTGAATCCAATTTAGAGAAGAGCTCACTGCAGAACTGGAACTGCTATATTTGTGGCAAACCTGGCTATTTGGCTAAATTTTGCAAATCTAACAAGAATTTGAAGCCTAATGAGTCTAAGAAACACTCTAAAGACAAAGACAAGAAAACAACTATAGTTGCAACAGACAAGATCCATTTGATTCATGAAGCAGTCTTTTCTATAAGAGAAGTGCATGAATCCACAGACAGATGGATTCTTGACTCTGAAGCCAGATTCCACATGATCTCATGTACAGATCTAGTTCAAATAGATTTAAAGAGCCATGCAACACAACTGCTTATAGTGAATGGTTTGAAATCAGTTACCAGAGAATTTAGCATGGCCAGTATCTAAACTGACAATGGAGAATTGAGTATTGGGGGGGTTAGAATCATGCCTGACCTCCAGATTAACCTTATAAGCTTTGAGAAGCTTATATGAGATGGCTTTACAGTAGAACAGCTTTATGTTGATGAAGAACATGTCTTTCTACTAGAATTGACAGATAAAATACAGAGCTTCAAAGCTGTGCTTAACAAGAATGATATTCTAGTCCTACAAACATCTAGAATATGCAATTTACTGGCATATGTGTTTCCAGTATCTATGAAACTTCTAGAGCCCTGCTATGTAACAGCAACTCTAGAGAATAAAGATGACATGCTTTTGGCACCAAATCACCTGGCAAAGGAGCCAGAAATTAAGGAGAATATGATGGCCAATTGGCACAAATGCTGGAGGCATCTCAACACCCATGATATAGCTATTCTAGCTAGAGATTCAAGAATGGCAATGTGAATAAAGAGAGTAAAGAAGCTAGAGTTCTGTAAAATCTGTGCTAAAGCTAAGCAAGCTTGCAATCTATTTGAACCTAGAATACACTCTACAAAGTCTGAAGCTAAAATTTTTATTAATATTGCAGGTGGTAGTCATATCCTATCTACAAACTCTGATTCTCCAAGCTATGGTAAAGTGAAGTATTTCCTACTTATAACAGATGATACCACATGATACAGGTGAATCTATCTTCTGAAGAAGCAGGTAGAAGCTCCAGAAACCCTAAAGAACTGGATTAACATGATTAAAGCATTCACTAAATGAAAGATTAGCACTATACTATCTGATGGAGCTTCTGAATTAATGAGCCAATAACTGGCTGAATTCTACAGAAGCAAGAGTATACAATAGAAGATTATATGTTCATATACATCTCAACAAGATGAAATAAGTGAATGAGAAATACAACTTCTTTGCAAGCAAACAAGAAGTGTACTTATAGACTCAGGACTATCTAATAAGTTATGGGTGAAGCTCTTACCACAGTCTCCATAATAGTGAATCTATTACCTACCTCAGTATCTCTATATGGATGCAAGAACATGAAGCCATTGACACTCTTTAAAGTCTGGATGAGTCACCAACCCCATTGCAGATGGGTTCATAAATGGGGATGTAATATCTATATGAAGATTTTGAACAAATCCTCAAAGCTCCAATCTAGGTTCAAGAAGATCAAATTTGTAGAATATTATGGCATGCACATCTACAGGCTTTAGGACCTAGAAACAAACAGTATAATGATCTTGCAAGATGTTATATTTGATGAGAAATTGGATCAAATTCCTATGAATTTGCTAATCAAAGCCAAATATGTTGAACTTCCAGAGAAGTATAATTATATAGATTCATTGAATGGCTGGCAACACAAGCTACTAGCTTATCTTGCAAAGAAGAAGCCAGAAATCATGAAGAAGCTTGTAAATAATGAATTAGAGGCTTTAGAGCCCACATACCTGGGTGAAGAGCAAGAAATTCTCTTGAATACTATAGAGGAAGAAGAGACAAATGAAGCTGAGCTTCCAGTGCTCAGTATACATACAGATATACCAAAATCCATTGCTGAAGCCAAATGCTCTGAAGAATGGCTTTATTGAAAGAAGACTCTAGATGTTGAAGTCTCTAAATTACAAGAGAAAGACACCTGGATTCTAGTTAAGAAGAAACCCCAAATGCAGATCCTCTCTGGCAAATGAGTATTTGATAGAAAGCTTAACAATACAGGTGGCACAGTACAATTCAAAGCCTGTTGAGTTGTATATGAATTTGAACAGCAAGAAGGCATTCACTACAAGAAGACCTATGCAGCAGTTGTTAGTGAACCTACAATAAGAGCCTTCTTTGCTATCTCAACAGCCAAGAACTGAAAGATCAGAGTCTTTGGCTTCATGACAGCCTTCCTAAATGGAACTCTTCCAGAGGATGAATGTGTATATGTCCAACTACCCACTGGATTCAAGCACAGGCAGGGTAACCTAGTAGAGCTCTTATGCCAGGGACTCTACAGGTTGAAACAAGCTGCTAGGCTTTGGTATCAAGCAGCTACTGACTATCTGAAATCTCTAGAATTCCAGATCTCTCCATATGATGCAGGGTTACTCTACCACAAGAGGAAGTGAATCTACCTAACCCTACATGTTGATGACTGCTGTATAATGGGACCCAACAAAGTCAAGATAGAATGGCTCATTGAGAAGCTTCAGGAATGCTTTGAGATCAAGGAGATTATGGAACAAGGCTGTTATCTAGGCATGCAGGTTCAAAAGCAGCTGAATGGAGACCTTTTTGTGAACCAGAAACAGTATATTAAGAATCTACTGACTGAATATGGAATGGAAGACTGCAAACCTTCTAAAACACTAATGAAGAAAGGAATAAGCATCAAATTTGTGCCAGATCAGACCCTCAAAGATGAAGTTGACAAGCAGGCTACACCTATGAATTACAGGAAAGGCCTGGGCTCTCTACAGTTCCTAGTTATGTGTACAAGGCTGGATATTGCATTTGCAGTCAATTATCTGGCAAGATTCAACAGCAGGCCCAATAGGGAAAGCTGGGCAGTGTTCAAGCAGATCCTATGCTACCTCAAGGGCACAAAATTGAAAGGAATAGTCTTTGAAAGGGATATGGATTCTGAAGGCTTGAAACCGGCAGCCAGTTCAGATTCTGACTGGGCTGGAGCCGACCCTGCGTACAAATCCACCAGCGGCTACATTATTACCATGAACGGAGCTCCAATATCGTGGAGATCACAGCGCCAGACGTCCGTCTCGAAATCAACGACCTGTTGATAGACGCCGGGGTGATTAGCGAAGGCTCAGCAAAGCTAAGGAGCTCAAAATTAAGTGTTGACAACAAGGGAGCGGTTGACTTAGCCAAAGCTGAAGCTATAACGCGAAGAGCACGCCATATTGAGATTCGGCACCATATGCTAAGAGACTGGGTTCAAAAGGATGAAATCTCAATTGAGCACATTGGAACCGACGCGAATAAAGCTGACGGGCTCACGAAGGCTCTTGCAATGGATCCCTATGCTCAATTTGTGAGCGCGATAGGGGTGACAAGTTGATACAGGAAAATATGGAGGTTTATCAGTGAAGCCAGCAAAAATATGGTATTGTGGTGAAATGGAGCTAAGCCTAAAGAAGGAATAAATCTGGATTCTGTAATTAATTTTTATCGCGGATTTGAGAGATTTGGAAGCTTTGGATCTTTGTGGCTCTCGCTCACGTGACCCACATAGATTAGCCGAGATTCCCCTTTAGGTAGCTTAGTGAATAACAAGCATACAAGTCCTCCATCACTTCGTTTTGTTCACGGAGTAACTGGTTATTCCGTGCTCCAAAGGTTCTTTCCAAGGAAGTTGCGGGCAGCTGGTGCAGGCGGCCTGCCTAGCTGCTTGCGCGTTAAGCGCTCTTGCCGCAAGCGCGTGTCGGGCTTGTCGAGGTCCCGCGCTACTCCAGCAGATACAAACATAATCACTGCCGTTTTCAACTCTTTAAAACCTGCCGGTTTGCCAAATCGGTTGTCCTTTAATTCAGTAAGTAGAAGGCATCACCAACTTGCAGCAGCTAAGTCGCCCTTAAACCCCGGTGCATCAAGGAACTGATATTTTCAAGCCGGTAAGCTATACAAAGTATGAAGTACATTCATCATGTAACTGCACCCCCAAATCCGACACCGTATATTGGCACATTATTTCATAATCCTCTTGAGTAACCAACAAGATCATATTCTGTAAAGTGCGTGAAATTTCTCTCACTTTCCAACATTTAAGATGTTCCCACTAGAAAAAGGGTGGCAAAGGCCAAAACAAGAAAAAAAGGGGGACTTTTGATGATAAAGAGACCTAATCCCACCAGTCATTTCAGATAACGCCGGGCTCAACGGGATACTAGCAAGCATAAGCAAATCGTACTTAATCGATCCGAGGCTTCTTAGAAGATCCTTCCTCAGACACTTGATCAATATCCATCATATCTCCATTAGCATCTTGGTCTTCACCTTCTATTCCGTTTCTTCGTTTGAGTCCTTTCATTTTCCTTGTCTGGAGCGCACTTAGATCCTGTCGACCCAGGTGTACTCGTCCGATCTTATCGCCGATAGAATCCATGCTGATATTTTTCTTTGTTCGTTCAAGGTCTTGTGGCCTCTTTCCTTGTTTCATGGCTTCTTTCATTGCCCCTGGATCCGCTTCTCGTATACGACCCAACTTGAAATCGAATTTGGGGCCAATTTCCTCCAATTCAACTCGGGGAAGCTTCTGGCCACTCTTTTTCGTGCAGATTCGATACCATCTTAAATGAATAACTGGGCTTGTCCCTTCAGTTGGCTCATCCGCTGCAACCATAAGCAAATACTGTAGTCCTTCAACATCAATTTTGGATGTTTCTTCGACCTTGAAAATATCCAACAGCATACTCTTCAGCATACCAAACACAGGAACCGTAGAATCCGCCCACACACTCCCTGCAAACAGAATCATGGGTTTCATCCCAAGGCCAACATTTAATTTCGCATGAAATCCACTTCCTCGCACGGCTGCATCCTGCTCCATCTGTTCTTGTGTCCCAAGCAACAGTAGTTCACACATTTCTAGAACCTTCGCATCGAATATGCGAACCAATGTGACGCAATTCGGTCGCTTTTTGTTGCTGCTGCCCCAAATCACAATACCGCACTCGTTTTTGGTTGCTAGGAACTCCAGGCTCGCTGCATTTTCAAAAGGATGAATGTTTGCATTCTTTTTGTGAAAGAGGATTGAATGAGGCTGTGTAAGGGAGTGGAAGACTTTGAGTGCTGTACGGAGAGGGAATGGGCATTTTGGCCCATGGAGGAGGAGAATACGCTTTGGCTGTTCGATAAGTTGTGGTTCTCGCGACTTGAGAATCCTCGCAGTGCGCGGATTCCGTGCTTTGCTAGATATTGCGAGGAAAGATCAGCATTTTATTTTGCAAACATGTCTGTAATTGACTCTTAGAAGAGAAACACATACACTTCTCTCAGCATCATGGTGTCTAGTTGTGTTTATCCAACCCCAGTATAGTCTTTAAAAACTTGCGACCTCGACCTCGAAATAATTTAGAGTTATCAAACATTTTAAACAGTGCAAACAATGCAAACATTAGGTAGTTAACTAACTGGGTGTTAAAATCCCGCTCCGTCTTCTGTACTCCGTACAGAGTGCTCTGTTGCAAAGTATACCTATGTGCCGAATGCAGGCATCTGGGGGTCAGACCACCCTCAAGAAAGTGCTCACTCTTAGTTCACTGGCATAGCAATTGAGCGCAACTTAGTTACTCGCAAGCTGGTTGGATACTTACATATGTAGTTAAGTGTAGAGAAAATATGTATTGGTATATGTCCACTTAGGTGAATGTCTTTCAGGAAGAAAACAGGCCTGGCCTTCCTCTTGCTTTTCTGTACATTTCTATTTGATATATTCCAGATGTACTCCATACAGAGCACAGAGAACGCTGTATGCACTGTTGAAATCATTTCCTTGGTCTGAGAGATCTTCCAGTTGTTGCCGCACCTTTGTGGCATATTTCCACCCTTGAGACATCCCCTGTTTGACAAATACCTTATCCCACACAAATCCATTGAACAACACTGTGCTGCAAAAAACATGTGAACTCATTTTGCAACTCTCAGTGTATGAGCTTCGAGAAAGGACTTTCCATGATTTTAGTCAAAGCAAACCCAATTGCCCATTAGCTGCTGGGACTTGTGAGAATTTACTAATCCCACCATGTGTGATCCAGTCTTTTTGATACAATTATGGAAATACCAAGAGAATATCAACATCAAAAGCTGCTTTAACCATTGTACCCCTCAATTTTACTGCTGTTTTGAATGTTCCTTTTCACAATCTTCACTAGGTTTCTCTAATTCATGCCAGATATCCAGTGACCTTTCCTGACGTATATCCAACGGATCGCACCTGTTGGCCACATGGCCCTACATGTGAGTATCCTCTAAAATTGCTCGGATTGTATGCAATATTCGACGGAAGCAGACTTGGAAGACAGTTGATGTCTGTTGCTCCTTGAGTGGAGACTGTCAGCACAGAAATGTTACTTCTTCACTTTACAGTGATTTGGATCGAGCTTTTTTTCGTAGGTTTTGAACCCATCCTGTGGTTGGAGTTTTGCTAACCTTTACCCCGTAGGGAGTGAAGAAAGGAGAGTGCAAAGCAATCGGGGAGTACCCTAGAAGAGGGATATTCGGGAAGGTGCGGAACTCGCCTGATGATTGCGGTTCGACGATTGACCTTTCAGACATTTCTAACGTCCAATTAGCCATTCGGAGAGATAAGGGAAAGCCCTTTGAATAGAAGGACGTCAGTGGTAAGGGAAAATATCGCTTCGCAATTGGGTATTCTCGCGTTCTTTTGGCTGACTAGTCCAGTCGTACTCTGTTCCGGAGGGGACCTCATTTACCTCTCATAGCGGTGGCAATGGCAATAATGGCGTTACCGTTATTGTCTCCTTGGACGGACATCCAGTAATTGGGGGCAGGCCCCCAACGATCAACCAAGGCAGCGGTGGTATCGGGGGTCAACATAGCCCCGAAGAAGAGCAGAGACCCGGGGGAGAAACAGGGTTGGAAGGACAGCAGGGTGTTGACGGCCAGCAAGGCACTGAGGGCGACAATGCTGGCGATGCCCCGTGCCCCTGTACTTGTTCATGCCCCTCTGATGCATTCAGTCTACCACAAGGACCAATAAATAGCGGCGGAATTGGAGAGGTGTCGATACCAGAGTCTGCAATCATAGCTACCTCTTTTGTGGATGATGGCACTGAAGTAGCTACCAGTGCAACAAGCGCTCCGTTTGAAATTCCCTCCAGTCCGATTTTGCAGATGCCTCCGGCGGACACCGACCTGAATATACCGGTGAGCACAACTCCACCACCCTTTGGCGTCCCCACGGATGCTCCCGTACCCTCGGAGACGTCAGAATTTGTCAGTGAACCGTCGTCACCGGTAGATTCAGCAAATCCAATTTCAGCTACTCCCATATCTAGTATGGAAACTTTGCCCTCCTCTCCTGATCCGATGACATCATCACAGGTGCTCCCTTCCACACCGACCGAGGGAGATATCACTGTGACCAGTGCACCAGCATTGCCATTGTCGGGACAGGGAATTGATGCCAGCTCATTGGAACTTCATAGCACATTGGTTTTTGGTCTGGGAGGATGATTCCAGAATTGTTTACATTGTAAAGATTGAAATTTGCATCTTTTGTTCACTGCGGGACCCTCAAATTCCTACCAATGCTCGCCCAGTTACTTTATTTCACTAAAGGCTGAGTGCATGTATGTACGTACCGTAGCCCTGCTTTCCATTCGATTCAGGGATAATATGTTTATAACTCAAGGTTGGGCTATTGAGGGACTTGCTAGCTTATCGTTGTCGCAGTTTTCAAGTCTGACCTTTTTGGACATTCGTTTCAGCTCGCGTTTAGACACTCGTGGTTCCGATGTCGCCATTATCCCGTCTTCCGATGCCTTGCGCTTCACTCCATTCCCGGATTGTGGTGTTCCGGCGGAAGTACCCCTTTTAGCCTGCAGGGCTGTTTCTCCAGAAGGGCTCAATTTATTCCCTCCAATTACCACGTCCACAGTTCCCCTCCAACTGGACCTCTTCATTCGTGCTAGCGCAACAACCTTTCTTGCCTCATCGCACAACGCATCTTTCGCATTTTCCCGCGTCATTCCCCAAAGGCATGCCAAATTTATCACATCGAATGGCGCTCTTACACCCAATGCTTGCTTTGCTTCGCTTGAAAGGATGATGCCCCGGCCCCGGGTTGCACGCACCAAGGAAATTGCGTTGCTAATTAAATTCCTCCGAGCTTCTGGTCCACTTCCCGTAAGTCCAGGGCTATAGCAAATTTCAAAACGCACTCCCCGAGCGACAGCTGAAGAAAGGGTTTTAAATTTAAAGTGAAAAGGCAAGCGAACAGCCAGATCCAGCGATATGATGTCGCAATCAAGATTGTTACATGCTTGCATTAAAGATTTTTCATTCGTTGGTCGTATGGCAAGGAGGGAATATGATTGCGCTAGCGTAGTAAGGCGTGGGTTTTGCGAAGGTTCGGAGACTGTGAGATTGAGTCGGGTGAGAAGGGTCATAGATTTCGGTATATTTGTGGGCATAACTGGCGGAGTTTGATTTGGAGGGAATTTCGTCGAGAGGGACTGTGATAAAGCAACCGTTGTGTAGCCCACTAAGCCGATAAGTGAATTAGAATTTGGGGCAGTATACTAATGGAAAATTTAGTACAAAAAGGGGTGCAAGCTCACATTCAGCCAGAAAGTGGAGAGTATGGACGACATTTGCATCGCTCGAGGTGTACGGAACATTCAGATCATAGAACGTCATGGTGCCATAGAGACTCAAGATCGGAATTGAACCAACAATTCCCTCTTCAGGACATTGCGTTGGATGTACTCCGTAATAATAGGCTGGTTCGACGGAATGGTAATCATGTATATGGGTACTCCGCAGCTGATGAAGCAACACGTACAACTCTGTTGGCATGTTACCTCGAAAATCTCTGGACTCTTGGCGGGTTGGCGCGATAAGATAAGGCTCCCTACTAGCTAGCTAGCTAGTTAGCTGACTAGGTGCGGGCAACCCGCGCTGAAGGTCGATGATCATGTGACCAGTTAGAATGCAAGGCTCAACTGGGGGTTTTGTCCTCCGTACTCCCTAAAAACTATGGAGTACGGAGCAATGAGTAATCCTTCAATTCTCTGTAACCGACCAAGTGGCAGAGCTTGGTAGTGAACGACTTCAGGATTAACGCCCAAAGAGTACGGAGTACGGAGTACTCTGTACGTAGTAAATACGGAGTAGGGCTTAGAGCCCGCCCCTACCCTCTGATTATATAATCTGTGGCACCCGCTCCTGCTGTGTCGCTTGCGGCTTGGTCGAGTGACTTTGGCTTGGGAGGAATTCAATCTTCGCCATATTGATTACGGACTGCTTCTGAGGCCAAAAGCCTCGTGGAGCTCCATCACCTATCTGGGCATTCCATGACCTAGTTAATCCTTCCCTTTACTCCCCTTGATCTTCAATATCTTGTGACTCCTTTCCTCCTCCTTCCTTAATATCCCACCAAATTCTACCTGAGTCCGTACCGTCCTTCTGACGTTCAGTGCGAACTCAAGAGGTCGTCATGGCGCGTGTATATGCGGATGTGAATCAACACATGCCCAAGTCATATTGGGATTACGATAGTGTCAATATATCCTGGGGAGTGTTGGAGAATTATGAAGTTGTTCGCAAAATTGGTATCACCCCGCAATCATGACATGCCACCTTTTGCTTCATTGTACCTTAACCCCTCTTTTCGCATGGGCTGACCGGAAACATCTACCAGGGCGCGGGAAGTACTCAGAAGTGTTCGAGGGAATAAACGTCGTAAACTACCAAAAATGCGTCATTAAGGTGCTAAAGCCAGTCAAAAAGAAGAAGATCAAGCGGGAGATCAAAATCCTGCAGAATCTAGCTGGAGGCCCCAACGTTGTCGCTTTATTGGATGTTGTCCGCGATAGCCAAAGCAAAACCCCTAGCTTGGTTTTCGAGTATGTCAATAATACCGACTTTCGAACGCTATATCCTCGTTTCGTCGATTATGACGTGCGGTATTACATCTTCGAATTGTTGAAAGCTTTGGATTTTTGCCATAGCAAAGGCATCATGCACCGAGATGTTAAGCCGCACAACGTTATGATAGATCATGAGCGGAGAAAGGTGAGTTCCAAAACTTCTCACAAGATATTTAGCATGATAGTATTAACATGCTAAATGGTACAGCTTCGGTTGATCGACTGGGGCCTTGCTGAGTTCTACCATCAAGGTACTGAGTACAACGTTCGCGTAGCGTCCAGGTACTTCAAGGGTCCAGAGCTGCTAGTTGACTTCCAGGAATATGACTATTCCCTTGATATGTGGTCACTTGGTGCCATGTTCGCATCAATGATTTTCAGGAAAGAGCCCTTTTTCCATGGGAGTAGCAATGCAGACCAGCTTGTAAAGATCGCCAAAGTCCTGGGAACTGATGGGCTTTTTGAATACTTGGACAAATACGACATAGAATTGGATCCTCAGTACGATGAAATCCTTTCACGCTACCCGAGAAAGCCTTGGCAATCCTTTGTGAATCAAGAAAACCAAAGATTCGTCAGTAATGAAGCTATCGATTTCCTCGACAAATTATTAAGATATGATCATGCGGTTAGCCTCCCCCTTCATCTTTCATTCCTAGTATTTCACCAGCTTACACTCCCCCCAGGACCGGCTTACAGCCCAAGAGGCTATGTCTCACCCCTACTTTGCGCCTGTGCGTGCAGCTGCGGCCCAACTCACCCAGAATTCAAGCACTCCATTGCATTCTTGAATTCAGTTACTACCCTTTCCTCTCATTAAGTTCTGAGTGGTCCGTCCATTCAAACCTTGCAGTGGGGCTGCTCTCTTAGCAATGGATTTGACACATTCCCCCATTTTGGAATTGGAATCACTGTTCAGCTTGGTTCACTGTCATCAGAGATGATGTCCGAGCGCTCTTCGGTTGTTTGTGGATACTGCCAATAGGTCCATGCCTAGATGCATACAAAGCTCCGCAACATAGTAGGTATTTAAATAATTGACAGTGTCAGAAAGAGCCTTTGCGGCCTGGCGTACTTGCCATGCGCTACAGCTTTATTAAAGCAATTGTCACCTTGAGTGTTCTTTAGCCCTTCCTTGTCGAGCTGTAATAGATTTATATTAAGATAAAACAGCTTGCTTATTGCATGAGCCCGAATGATAGCTGTCCATAGTCTCCAGCACCATCCATATTATAGGCATTGTACGCATTCCCACAATTTCCACTCTTTTATGAACAGACAGGGCCAGATATTTTTTTTTAACAAACCTGATTCCTCCAACAGGCTGTTGAGGGATGGCACGTGACGTGACTCACTGATTTGCGCTACTTTTCCAGGATCAAGCCCCCACTTAATACTACTTTAGCCTTCAGAAGTTCCCGTGTCGAGCTGAACAAATTGTGAGTGTAAGTCTATCCAAACTCTCCCGACCTCACTGATTATTTCCCTATCAGGACTTTTATGTGCGAACCCTATCCTTTGTTTCTGTTTGAGTAAAATCGGGTCAAGATACTGATCAGACGACAATTTACGCGCGCAGCGCGTTGGAGATTTGCTCCACAGCTTCGATTTATCACCATGGCTTCTGTTCCACCCCCCCAGGCGTCAGGTTAGTGTTAGAATGTGATATATAGCCTTCTAAAAGTCTTTGAGAAGGGCTAATTTTGGAACCTTAGCTTCAAGCGCAAATATTCCCGCGAACTGCGAGGGAAAAAGCGACAACCCGGATTGCGCTGACAATGGCGCAGAATCGCAGCCTAAGCCCAAGACAGAGAAAGAGCGTACGTTGTGCGGCAACCATTCATGGGGATTTTTGTGCCTGCTTGCAAGCCCGGCCGTGACTCCATTGTACTGAACTTTCCATCGAATGACCTGTCTAATCGTTTCTGGTTTAGTCGAGAGAGAGCGCAAGAAGGCAGAGAAATTGAAGAAATTTGCGGAGAAGAACGCAAAAAAAGCTGGGACGTCTAAACCTGTCGAGAAAAAGACAAAGGTTGAGAAGGAGAAAACAGCCGATGCATACGACCCTCTGAAAATCGAGTCCGGAAGATATGAATGGTGGGAGAAAAATGGGCTTTTCAAGCCTGAATTTGGCCCAGATGGGAAAGTTAAACCACAAGGGTCATTCGTGATGACCTTCCCCCCGCCTAATGTTACAGGAGCACTGCATATGGGCCATGCATTAACCAACTCACTTCAAGATACCATGATTCGGTGGCAACGTATGAAAGGGAAAACTGTTCTATGGCTTCCAGGGTATGACCATGCCGGAATTTCCACACAAAGTGTTGTGGAGAAGATCCTATGGAAGAACGAGAGGAAGACCCGCCATGATGTTGGGAGGTCTGTTTTGACAAATATGATCTGGGACTGGACACACAAGTATCATAAGAGCATCACGACTTCCATGAAAAATATGGGAGGCTCATTTGATTGGACAAAAGAAGCATTTACAATGGATAAAAATCTCACTGCTGCAGTAATGGAGACCTTTGTGAAGCTTCATGAAGAGGGCACCATCTATCGGGCCAACAGGCTTGTAAACTGGTGTGTTGCTCTTAATACTTCTCTTTCTAACCTTGAGGTCGAGAACAAGGAACTGGAAGGGAGAACGCTGCTTGATGTTCCTGGTTATGACAAAAAGATCGAGTTTGGCGTGTTGACTCATTTCCTCTATGAGATTGACGGCACCGATGAGAAGATCCAGGTTGCGACGACCAGACCAGAGACAATGCTTGGTGATACAGGTATTGCTGTTCATCCGGATGACAAACGCTATCAGAAATATATTGGCAAGTATGCCAAACACCCATTCGTGGATCGCTTGCTCCCAATTGTTCCAGATGATAAAGTTGATCCGGAATTTGGTACTGGAGCTGTTAAAATCACACCTGCTCATGACTTTAACGACTTTACCCGAGGCACAGAACACAACTTAGAATTTATCTCAATTATGAGTGATGATGGAACCTTCAACGCCAATGCCGGTCCATTCGCGGGTGTCAGGCGTTTTGATGCGCGCTATAAGGTCATCGAGGCTCTGAAGGAGAAAGGGTTATATGTCAAATGGGAAAATAACCCTATGAAAGTTCCTGTTTGTGCCAAATCAAATGATGTAATTGAGCCGATCTTGAAACCACAGTGGTGGATGAAGATGAAAGAACTCTGTGAACCCGCCATCAAAGCTGTGGAAAATGGGGACATTGTTATTCGTCCCGAAAGCGCAGAAAAGAGTTATTTCCGGTGGATGAATAACATCACAGATTGGTGTCTCTCGCGGCAGCTATGGTGGGGTCATCAAGCTCCAGCTTATTTCATCCAGTTTGAGGGCGAGAAAGGCGACAATAGTGACGGAAATCTGTGGGTGACTGGTCGGACAGAAGAAGAAGCGACTGAAAAGGCAAGGGCGAAGTTTCCTGGAAAGAAATTTACCCTTATGCGTGATCCTGATGTTTTGGACACCTGGTTCTCTTCGGGCCTATGGCCGTTTTCTACCCTTGGCTGGCCTAAGAAGACTCATGACTTTGAAAACCTCTACCCGACTTCTGTCTTGGAAACTGGGTGGGATATTTTGTTTTTCTGGGTTGCTCGCATGATCATGCTCGGCATAAAGATGACTGGCCAAGTCCCATTTCGCGAGGTATATTGCCATTCATTGATTAGAGACTCTGAGGGAAGAAAAATGTCAAAGTCGTTGGGTAATGTGGTTGATCCTCTTGATGTTATGCGGGGTATTTCTCTGGACGCTTTGCATCAGAAATTGCTGGAGGGAAATCTTGCACAGAAAGAAGTTGCGACCGCGACGAAGTACCAGAAGAAAGCATTTCCAAAAGGAATTCCAGAGTGTGGTGCGGATGCGTTACGATTCTCTTTGGTGTCCTATACCACTGGTGGTAGGTAATGTTTCTAAACCGGGAGGAGACCATCGTTCTAATCTTTATCTTTAGGAGGTGATATCAATTTTGATATTCAGGTGATCCACGGTTATAGAAGATTCTGCAACAAAATTTACCAGGCTACCAGATATGTGCTCGGTAAACTGGGAAGTGATTTCCAGCCCCTGGCCTCTGCTTCAAAAACTGGTGCTGAATCCCTTGCTGAACGGTGGATTCTTCACAAATTCAGTACTGCAGCCAGAATTGCGAACGAGAAGCTAGATCAACGTGAGTTCTCAGATGCTGCATCCGTTCTATATCAATACTGGTACAGTCAGCTCTGTGACGTCTTTATCGAAAACTCAAAATCTCTTCTTCAGCAAGACGCTCCCACCGACATTCAACAGTCTGCAAAACAAACGCTCTACACCGCTTTAGAAGGCGCACTTACCCTAATTCATCCAATTATGCCGTTCATTTCTGAGGAATTGTGGCAACGACTGCCTCGCCGTCCTGATGACAAAACCATTTCTATCATGAAGGCAGCTTACCCGGAGTACAATTCCAGCTTTGATGACCCTAACGCAGAAGCTGCGTATGATTTAGTTCTTGCTACTTCAAAAGCTATCCGCAGCATTTTATCTGAATACGAAATCAAAACAAAAGGCGACATTAAGATTCAAACTTATAATGCGTCAAGCCACAAGACCATCAGAGATGAGGTTTCGAGTATCAAATCTTTAAGCGGAAAATACATTGGAGAAATTAGCGTTTTGGGCCCTGACAATACTATTCCGCCCCCTGGGTGTGTTGTTTCTACTGTTGGAGCTAATGCGGCTGTGTACCTGGAAGTGTCGGATGAGGTGCGACTGGAGCAAGAAGAGAAAGCGAAAGCCAATTTAGCAAAGGCCCTCGAAACCATCAACAAACAAATTGCCATCATGGAATCTCCTGCCTGGCAAGAGAAGGCCAAACCCCAGGCGAGAGAAATGGAAGAGAAAAAACTCAGGGACGCTCAGAGCGAGGCAGCACGGCTTGAGGAGCAGATCAAAGATTTGGAGAAGCTCAAGATTTAAAGATATGAGTTAGAATGTTAAAAGAGGCCTATCGGGCACGAAGTACATAGATTTGCCAAAGACGAGACTACGTATATTCATATTCATCCTAGAGGAATCCTCCTACGCAACTGTCTTGTTCTTGGCTTGATGAACTAGTTAAGGACTGAGCGGATAACATAATTAATCCATTCAGTGAGCAGACCAGCCCAGCTGTTATTATGATTTTTGATTATGAGGATAGATTATATGCATCTTTTTATGGTCATAGATGAGGTTTGAGCTTGATTGCTAATAATTTTCACATACAAATATGTAGTAAGGTTAGCTATATTACTGAAAATATCTTGTAACTTGTGTAATCTCTACAATGAGATATGTTGGAAGATTAAAGTTAAATATAAGAGCACATGAGAGGATAACTTACAAATACAGAGTACTCCATACTCTGTCCATTACTCCATAAATATTAACTGGTCTTTGGACCTTTGTGGTCTGATTGGTCTGCTTCGGTGATGACTTAGTTACATTACCTAATTACATGAACCCATACCAGAAAAATGAGCTTTTCAGGCAACCATCAGAAAATGTTTATCTGATGTGACCTATTGAACCACAGGTTGGAAGCTTGAAATCATAGATCAACTGTATATTTACAATGCATGTATAAAGGGTCCAAAACATATAGAATTCAGAATGTATGATGCACTAATTGAGGGTTTTGAACCTGATTTGGAAGCTTTTTAATTACTAGAAATTAACTACTAAGTGTTTACAAAACCCAACCTAAATTGTAATGAATTTTTTTTTTTTTTTTTTTTTTTTTTAATTTTCAGGAGCTTCACCAGTTAGAGTCTCTAGTTTAGGGACAGAGTATAAAACTAGCACAGAAGAATCATCAGGGCAAGTTTATTTGAGCTGCTTGATTATACTTTCAAGTAAATTAATGTCTTCAGTTAGAGACAGACCCAATACAGATATATTCAGCTGCAACTGAATGAAGAGAGAAGATATAATTAAGTAGAAGAAAAGAAAAAAGAAGTAAATACAGCAGAGAGCAGAATAATAGCAAATCAGTTTATCTTAATTACTAATTTACAGATAGTTTCTTCTGTCTTTTGCTTTTTCTATCATTAAATATTAAAGTTAGTTTAATTCATCTAATATTATATCAAGTATAGTGATTACAGAAGATAAATAATTGAACTTTAAGTCTTGACAGATATTGGCTAAGATTCTTTCAATATTCTATATATATAATTATATTAGTATAAGTTAAATGTATGATCTTTCAATCAGTTTAACCTATCTTAACTAAGTGAAATATATGCTTCACAAGCTCTTTTTATTTAGCTTGAATAGATACAAGCTTTTTTAATACTGCTAAAGTAGCAGCACCAACTTCAGTATTAAAGAAGAAGAGAGAGAGAGATTTATTAGTTTGAACTAATAAAAGTGTTATTTTAGTAAGTAATTTACTAAAATCAGCAGTCTGTTCTATCATACTGGCTTTTAATTTTTCTTAAAGTATCATATTCTTAAGCCTGAGAAAATTATTATAATTAGACAGTAATACTGCTACTTTCTTCTGTAGCTCTAAAGAGACAGAAGTACAGACTTTTTTATTTTCTGTATAATTAATGCAGGTCTTTATAGTTTTTTGCTTGCAGAAACAAGACTTTTTAATATATATTGTATATACAAATGTTAAACAGCAGTTATAGAGTATATTACTTATTATAGCAGACTCTTCTTTAATAACTGAGAACTTTTGCTCTAGCTTTTTCTTTATAAATATTAAAAAGTGCTTATTCTGAGCTGCTGCCAATTTACATATTTATAAAGTCATTTTTTACTATTTTTGTATATATTATTCTTTAGTTTGCTGCAGCTTCTTATTTCATTCTGAAATTTATCACTTATCTTGATATTAAAATAAGGGGAGAGAGATAATAAGAAATATAATAAGCTCAAGAGAAGAAAAGAAAGAAAAGAAGAGAAGAAGAGAGAGATTTTGTGTAAAAAAAGATTATTATATCTAGTATATCTGCTTAATTATTTTGAATTTCCTAATTAAAATGTGTTTATTTATATATTACTAAGTATTAACTTATTTTACTTAGAGCTTCTACAGTCAATTATGATAAATGATAAAGAGATATATATTAAATATAGTGAAATTCAGCTTTTGCAAGCATTGATATAACAGAGTATTGCATTGAAGTCTAGATATTAAACTCTGAAATCTATTTTGAAGTACAAATTAACAGCTAATTTTAATCTGAGAAGATATTTTTCATATATTTAACTGGAATCTGCATCTCTTTTGAAGTATATAATCAGTTGCAGCTGATACAGATTTCTTTAAACAGACAAGCTGATTTATTGTGGTCTCAAAATAATTCTTTATAATATTCTGCAAAGAATTTTAATTTCTCTTGTCTGAATTATTATTCTCTGGCTTCTACAGAGCTTGTACTATCTGAGCTAAATATGAATCAGATTTCCTGAATGATGTACTAGATGTTAACTGAACTGCATTTAGAATTTCTGATAAAGTCTTAACATAAACAGTCTTTAACTTTCTTGATTAAATCTTCTATCAGGCAAAGTTATTTAAATTAACATCTCTCAGTTCTGATCTCTGTATCAAGCAGTTCCAGAGCTTGAGTATAGAATTTTAGATGTAAATTAACAGAGTAGATGCATTCTGTTTCAGACTGTTATTATCAAGATACAGCTTCATGTATGCTGCTAAATTTGTATACACCTCTATTGCTATAACTGTTAGAACAGAAATCATAACAATTAAGATTTATCATTAACTTATATTTAAAATACTATTTCTCTTGTGGAGCTGACTTTTTAAAATTAATATACAGCTTGATCCAGTAAAGAACTTTACAGAATTAATTCCACTTGAATAATTAGACAAAATAGCTGATCAGCTTTTGTTAATCAGTTATTTTATGAAGTTTAAAATCAGAATTCTCAGTCAAGCTGAGTTCAATACATTTTCTGACATGATTCTGCAAATAAGATCAGTTTATATTGTAATTACAAGTTTAGAGATGTTATTCTGATCTTCAAGCTATTCAAGATCTTATATTTTCAATCTTTACAGAGATCTGACATGCATCTGGAAAGTTTACAAAAATATAAGTTATTTCCAGCTTTCCAGTTCTCAGAGCTCAGCATCTTCTGAATAGTATTAGAAATTGGATCAGTATTTAATATTAATATATAGATTCATTGTATTCAATTTTATATCTTGTACTCCATCACTTAAATCTGCTTTTTAATCTCTGTATGATTAGAGAATGCTTCAGTTCAGATACTTGTATTTAAACTGAATAATATTTCTTGAGTCTTTAATATGTTATGTGATTAAGTCTATAGAAAGATATGAGCTGTTTTTTTTAGTACTGACATGCTCTGTATCTCTAACATTTTGGCTATCAGATTATTATTAAGAATGAACAAGAGTGAATGCTTGAATTTCAGAGAAATTCACTATCTATTATATAGTTGACTTGAAGTATATTTAACTGCTCAAATTACTATTCAGATCTGTATTTATATTCTTCTACATTCTAAAATTCAATACTGCTAAGTAATTGATTTCTTTAAAATAGACTGATTATTTAGAAGAATGCAAATTATTACTAATCTTGTATTTCTTAAAGCTAATTATAGATCTAGATAATCAGAATATTACAGTTAATCTGCAGTACAGTTGGCACATTTTACAGCTGCTCTAATATTTAATTTTGCTATAATATGTCTGATTTCCCAATCAAACAGAAATTTTCTTTTTAATTTCTATATACTTTATTTTAAAGAAATTCTGCAGCAACTCTTACTGTTTCTGTAACTTAAAACTTAATTACTGCAGAAACTGGTGTATAAATCTTAAGCAAATATGTAAGATCTGAGATACTTAAGATATATAGAAAACTATATATTTTAAAGAAGATAATTTTATTTGTTATTTCCAGTCTTGCAGTTTTGAAAATACAGATAGTCTGCTTATTTATTGCAGAAATTACAAAATTACAATTATATTTTATCTTCAGTAAAACCTGATATTTAGCTGAATAATTAAACTGAAAAGTCAGAATTAAGTGTAAGATCTTAAATTTTCTGTCAGTCTATATTATTCTAATTACTGTATACAGAATGCAGCAAGTCTTTCAGATATCTCTGATACTTCATCTGACACTCTATCTGACACTCATTCTGAATCAGAAGATATCAGAGTGCAGGAGATTATATAAGAAGCAGTAACAGCTCTACTTATAAAATCAGTTGATAATAATAAATCACAACAGTATGAAGAGCTCAAATTGAAACTCTAATTACAGATTATGTTACATCTAGTACATTCAGTTAGTAATAGAGATTCTGATTTTCATTCACAATTAGAGAATTTATTAGGTGATCAGCTAGCTGAGATCTACATTCTAACTACAATGAATGATTTGTTGGAGGTTCTAGTTCATATATATGCAGAGCCTGATGAAATGCTGAACCACTTTACACTTGCTTTAAAATTATGGTGCAAAAAATTATAAATATCTTGCTGATACTATAAGATACTGTAGGAAGTCTTACAGATTTCTGAAGATATTAGTATACTAAAATCTTTATTATTGGGGCTGAGCATGTTGAAGAAGAAATGCAAAGCTCAATTCTTTATACTTCTTATCTGACAAACATTCATACTAGCTGTTCTATTGAAAATATCAACTCTTTTATTTGTCAAGAAGTAACTAATACAGATATCTCTTACATCTAATTTATTCTTTCAGAATTCTGTGACTCTTTTATCATTACTGGAAAGGTTTTCTGTATTTCACAAGAAGATACATATTGGTATGACTGATCTAGTTAACAATCTAACTGAATTGTGGCAATTATAAAGCTGGAAAAACTCTATTAGATATTTGTTAGATAATTTTGCATGATATTCTGACAGAACATCAGTTTTTTCTTCTGATTTTGTTTGTTTCAGATGCAACAATACTGCATGTAAGTACACTTGAAATAAACAAGAAATCTATATCAGAAGAATTTAATTTGTGAGTTAGAACCAGAGACTGGCCTGCACAAAACCTGATGAAATTATTCTTATTGTTCAGTACACTATTACTGCCAACAACTTTGATAAAAGAATTCATTTGCTAAGATCTTCACTTTGCTTGAACAAGCTGCTCTTACTGACAGATCAGAAAACTCACATTATATATGAAGACAACATTCTAGCCTAACTGAATATCTATGTTGACTACATCTTTAATAGATTAGATAGCTATAAATTTTCAGAAACAAATGAGTTCTTTGTATAGTAAGTAATAAATACAATTTGC